TAGAGGGGGTGCACTGAGTTCAGAGTGGTTGTCGCCGTCGCGTCGTGGTCTGGGCGGGACTGCAAGGTGTCTGCTTGCGGCGGGGGTCCCCCGGGCTTCTGGCGCTTGGGCTCGCGGGTCTGCAGCAGCCCCCGCGCATCACGGGTGGTCTCCTGGCCCAGACCCGCTACCCGCTGGCCCGGGGCACCCGCTGGGACAATGGGGAAGGAATGAGACCGGGAGGCTGGATGGAGGCCCTGGGCGGGTTTCCGAGAGGGTTGGAGGACGACCTCCTCGCCCGCACCCGGAGCCGCCGACTAGATTTCTTGGCCTTCTCATCGTGCTTTCCTGTGGCTCCCGGGCCTGTCCGCAGGATGGACCCTGCGCCGTCTGCGGTCCGACTGACCGTGAGGGAAGCCATTCACACGCTCTCGTCTTCCGATGACTGTGGCCTCATTCTCCACACCCTGAGGTTCCTGAAGCGGTATCTGGGAGAAACAGAGGATCCAGCCCTCCCTGAGGAACAGGAGGAGTTTGCGACTGTCCACTTTTCCGCCTTTCTCAGATGTCTGGTCAGAAAGCTAAGCCCAGTTTGGCTGGAGCTGTCGCCAGACGGCCAGTTGGAGGAGCTCTGGGACAGCTTTTTCCTGAAAGGCCCTGCTGACCAAGCCTTCTTAGTACTTATGGAGGCTCTTGAGGGCACTGCAGGGTGAGCAGGGCTGGTCTGACCATGGGGTTTTCTGTGACTTGAGAAGCATAGAATAGCCAGGGTGTGAGCAACAGGATCTCTAAATTTTGTGTGGGGGAGAGGACAACTTGCACACAGCTGAACACTTAGGAGTTAGTGTGTCCACCTCTACAACTCTTAGGAAGGCCCTGGCCGTTCTGTCACCTTGTCAGAGGATAGCAGGAGGAGGGTTCACATTGTTGGTGCAGGCAGCACACAAAACCTCCACTTCCTCCAGCTGGTGGGGCCCTGTCCTTTACTCTGTGGCCCCGGGGTGCCACAGCCAACTCTTGGGGGGGCCACCTTGGGACGTTTTGGGCTTTCTAGAGAAGCTGGGCCTATGGGACATGTGGTTGCCGTGACTCCTAGCTCCAAGCAGGTCCCAGATTTGACATCAGATTACTTGACAGTTGGAAGAACACTTTATTTGAGAAGCTGGGTTTTTAGAGGTTACTGTGCTAAAAAGCAGTCACCGTGCTAAAATTGGCATGGGTAGGCAAGAGATGGCTATGTCCAGTGTGATTGGAAGTCGAGGCAGCTGTGCAGGCCCCAGTGCCACTCATATCCTGCTAGAAGATGGTTATTCAGGAATGGAATTCAAAGTATGTGCCTTCATTTTATGAGTCAGGACATAAGGGACAATGAAGTTGTTGGGTCTGCTTGTCTAACAAGGGCCTGTGGGAATTCCGTTTGGCTAGAAGAAAGTGCCAGGAATAGAGGGGCTTAGGGATTCCGCCCAATGTTCCTACTGTTGTTCAGCCCCAGCTTCTGTCTGATGAAGATGGCGCAGCTGCTGGCAAATTTTCTCAGCCAGAGAAGGGTGGCAGCTTTGATGGAGGAGCAGTGTCGGCCACAGAAGAAGCCCGGCTTCCCACTACTGCAGGAGACTCTGCTCAGCAAGGTGGTGGGCTTGCCTGATCACTTGGGCAACCGCCTGCAGCAGGACAACCTGGCCCTCTTCTACCCCCAAAACTATTTTCCTTTGCTTGGCGAGGAGGTGGTTCGGGTGCTACAGGGCATTGTGGATGCTCTACGAGGTGAGCAGGTACCCCCGCCTCAGGGTACCTCTTCTCAGGCCATTGTCCCCTCCCCTTCTGGTGAAAGTCTCATGGTCTCTGAAGACTGGGAGTTTGGGTGATACTGTCACGCAGATCAGGTGCGATCTCCTCTTTCAGACAATAGCAACCCACATATTGAAATTTTTTTTTTTTTTTTTTT